AGCATTAGGAGAAATACCTAATGTAAATGATGAGTTGATGGGTGCAGCAAACCAACATGGCACATGTATACCTATGTATCAAACCTGCACGTTGTACACATGTACCCTGAACTTAAAGTATAATAAAAAACAAAAAAGAAAAGAAAAAAAAAAGAAATAACGATGCTGTGGTTTTACTGAACATATAAAAAATTATTAAAAATAGCAAACAAAAAATACATACTGGAATCTAAAACCACATACCCTCCTGTGGGAGTGCTGTACACTCTCTACGCCTATAAAGATTCCTCCGAAAGCAGCAATGATGCCAGACATCATGTTGCGTACACAGTGGTCTCCTCTTATTCTCAAGAGGAGAATAAGGCACTAAAATGCTTAGAGTGTTACTTCTTGCTCTCCGGGGTAAGGAAAGAGGTGTTAAGTACAAAAATAACCCTATCTCAAAGGCAGAGCGTCTGCCAGAAGAATCATTTTTGGAACATCCTCTAAATACTAGTGCATATAACTCAGTCCTTTCAAAGAAAAGCCTAAATCCACACATCCAAACCCTGCCCATCCTTGAGAGTTAACTGAAGATGCACCTTCTTAAAAAATCATTGTTCAAGCTGGGCAGGGTAGCTCATGCCTATAATCCCAGCACTTTGGGAGGAGGCAGACGGATTGCTTGAGTTCAAGAATTGGAGACCAGACTGGGCAACATAGTAAAACCCCATTTCTACAAAAATATCAAAAGTTAGCTGGGCATGGTGGTGTGCGCCTGTGGTCCCAGCTACTCAGGAGGTTGAGGTAGGAGGATTGCTTGAGCCTGAGAGGAGAGGTTGCAGTGGGCCAAGATTGTGCCATTGCACAGCCTGGGTGACTGAGCCAGACTTTGTCTCTGAAAGAAAAAACCCCACATCATTCTTTGTCTATTCCAGTTCTTAGTGAATTCTCTCTACAGAATGACTGCACTCACTATGGCAGGTATTAATAATTTAATCATTGATTTGACATCTCTTACCATTTAATTTTTATATTATTTAACTCTATGACGTCCTAATTTATAAATAGCATATCTAATTCCTAAATGAATGAGATAACAGTTCTTAAATGGTTATTTATTTACATACATCTTGTACTCTAGAACAGATGTCTCTCCTACATCTTGAGGCCCAGTGTAATAATTTGCTTTATCTCCCGTGGTCCCCATAAGTTGTAATCTAACAGTGATACAGAGATGCTCCGGCTAACAGAACTCTAATATAGGCCGGGCGCGGTGGCTCAAGCCTGTAATCCCAGCACTTTGGGAGGCCGAGACGGGCGGATCACGAGGTCAGGAGATCAAGACCATCCTGGCTAACACGGTGAAACCCCGTCTCTACTAAAAAATACAAAAATCTAGCCGGGCGAGGTGGCAGGCGCCTGTAGTCCCAGCTACTCGGGAGGCTGAGGCAGGAGAATGGAGTGAACCTGGGAGGCGGAGCTTGCAGTGAGCTGAGATCCGGCCACTGCACTCCAGCCTGGGCCACAGAGCGAGACTCCGTCTCCAAAAAAAAAAAAAAAAAAAAAAAAAAGAACTCTAATATACTGTCCCTTCATTATCTACATGCTGGAGCATGTGCAGATAAATAAGAAACAATGGAGGCCAATAATGATTCAAATCAAAGATGATTTTAAAAGATCCTTTATATGTATCCTTTATACTTTGTTAGCTGGGTGTGATGACATGCACCTGTGGAAAGCTGAGATGGGAGGACTGCTTGCACTTAGAAGCTCAAGGTCAGTCTGGGCAACACAGTGAGACCCCATCTCAAAAACAAACCAAACAAACAAAAACATTTTCTTCACTAGGCTACAGGGGAAAAAATTAAGGAAGGCAAAGAAAGAAATATGTATGAAACTTACCTTGCCTGTGAATCATGCCCCCATGCATAATTCTTGCAACAATACAATGATTTAGTTCATTCATTTTTAAAGTGATTCCCTGTAAAAAAAAAATAAAAAGTTCAGTAAAAGTAGAATTACTATGATAGTACTTCTCTTAATATTTATGATTTTGTGGTAGGCTATAATAGAATACATACATTTTATATAATGCTTTTAACACACTGTTTTCTTTTCTTTTCTTTTTTTTTGAGACAAGAGTCTCATTCTGTCATGTGCAGTGGCACGACTGCAGCTTACTGCTACCTCCACCTCCAGGGTTCAAGTGATTCTTCTGCTTCAGCCTCCTGAGTAGCTGGGATTAAAGGTGCCTGCCACCATGCCAAGCTAGTTTTTGTATTTTTAGTAGAGATGAGGGTAAGGAAAGAGATGGTTCACTATGTTGGCCAGGCTGGTTTCAAACTGCCGACCTCAAGTGATCCACCTGCTTTGGCCTCCCAAAGTGCTGGTATTACAGGTGCGAGTCACCATGCCTGGCCGATAGTGCTTTTAAATCTTCTAATTATGATTATTTTCCCTGTTGCTCTATTTTTAATGTTGCCTATTATTTTTAAAAACAGTTTTTATTGATATATTATTGACATACACATATTTAAAGTGTACAATTTGATAAGTTTGACATATGTATGAAACTATGGCCACAATCAGGATAGTGATGTATCTATCATTCCCAAAAGTTTCCTCATGCTTGTTGATAATATTCTCCCATCCCTCCATACCCTCCCCACCACATCCCTAAGCAACTACTAATATGACAATCAAAAAGCTGATAATATAGTTGTCGACCAGTCAAATGCTGATACAGTAAACTTTTGCTGACTACAGATTTGTTTGCACTGTACATAAATGAAATCATACAGTATGAACTCTTTTTTGTTGCTTTTTTCTCTCAGCATAATTATTTTCAGACTCCACCATGCTGTTGCATGTATCAGTAGTTTGTTCTTTGTTCTTGCTGAGTGGTATTCCATTGTATGGACGTATCAGTTTATCTACTCACCCACTGAATTGTTTTCTGGTTTGGGCTATTATAAGTGAAGCTGTATTCCTGGGTTAATCACCATTTACTCATAACATATATATATATTTAAGATCTGGAACACTTCATGCATTCATACGTCATCCTTATACAGAGGCCATAATAATATTTTCTTTACTGTTTATATTTCAGTATATATGCTGCTGAAGTGAGCACATATTAACCTTTTCATATATTGTTGGATTTGCTTTGCTAAGATTTTGTTTAGAATTTTTACATCTACATTCATGAGGGATACTAGTCTATAGTTTTCTTTCTTTGTAATGTCTTATCTGGTTTTAGTATCAGGGTAATGCTGGCTTTCTAGAATGAGCTGGGAAAAATTTCTTCTTTTTCAATGTTTTGGAAAGAGTTTGTATAGAATTGGTATTATTTCTCTATTATTTATGTTTGATAGAATTTATCAGTGAAGCCATCTTGACCTGGAGTCTTCTTTGAGGAATAGTTTTTAACTACAAATTCAATTTTCAAATAGTATTGGGCAATTCAGTTTATTCCTTCTTAAATGAGCTTTAGTAGTTTCTGTCTCCCAGGGAATTTTTCCATTTTATCTAAGTTGTTGAATTTATTGGCACAAATCTGTTTATTTCCTTATCATCTTTTTTGTATCTGTAGACTCTGTAGTGATGCCCCTTCTCTCATGCCTGATATTGGTAATTCATGTTTTTTCCCCCCGATCGTATAGTCATTTTTCCTGATCAGTCTGATCTTTCCAAAGAAAAAGTATTTTTTGTTTTATTGATACTCTATTGCTTTCTGTTTCCTATTTCATTAATTTCCACTTCGATCTTTATTATTTCTTCTCTTCTACTCATTTTGGGTTTAATTTACTCCTTTTTGCCCTAGTTACTTTTAAGGTATAAGCTGAAGTCATTGATTTGAGATGTTTCTGCTTTTCTAATATAGGTGTTGAATGGTACATATTTCTCCCTAAGTACTGCTTTAGTGGTATCCTGCAAATTCTGATATACTGTGGTTCATTTTAATTCATTACAAAATGCTTTTTAATTTCCCTTTTGATTTCCTCTTTAGTCCATGGGTTACTTAGAATTGTGTTATTTAGTTTTCAAGTAATTGGTGATTTCTCTCTGTTATTCATGTCTAATTTAATCCCAGTGTGGTCTGAGAATATACTTTGATATCAATAAAGCTACTCCAGCTTCCTTTTGATTAATGTTATCATAGTATATCTTTTTCTATCTTCTTACTTTTATTTATTTATTTATTTTTTAAGAGATGAAGTCTCACGTTGTCAGGCTGGAGCACAGTGGTGCGATCGTAGCCCACTGCATCCTCGAACTCCTGGGCTCAGGTGATCCTCCTGCCTCAGCCTCCCAAGTAGCTGAAACTACAGGCATGCACCACCAAACCTGGCTTCTACCTTTTTACTTTGAAACTATTCTTTGTGTATAAAGTGCGTGTTTTACAAGTAGAACATGATGATTAATACAGTCTGGTATAAATATATATTCTTGCTATTTGACTTCTATTTGTTCCACCTGTTCTATGTTATCTTTTTCTGCCCTTCTTTGTATTATTTTTTATTCTGCTTTCTCTCCTGTGTTTTCTCTCACAACTCTTCATTTTATTGTTTTAGTGGTTGCATTAGGGTTTATAGCATCTACCTTCAACTTGTCAGTGTACCTTCAAGTGATATTATACCACTTCACATATAGTATAAGAGCCTTACAATAGTATATAGTACTTCTATGTCTTTCTTCCTGACCTTTGTGCTACTGTTGTCATACATTTTATTTTTCCATATACTATAAACTCTAAGACACACTGCTGTTTTTGTTTAAATTGCCAATTGTAAGAGATTGAAGTAATAAGAAAAATAACTTATAGATTTACCCACATAGCTATCATTTCCAGTGCTCTTTATTCCCTTTTTGTAGACTCAGATTTTAATCTGTTATCATTTTCCTTCTGCCTGAAGAATGTCCTAAATATACTGTGAGTCTTCCAGTGTGGGTCGGCTGAATTCTTTCAGCTTTGGTACGTCTGACGACATTTTTATTTTGCCTTTATTCTTGAAAGATACCCTTTGCTTGGTTTAGAATTCTAAGTTGAGAAATGTTTGTTTTTAGTACTTTATGACACTGTTCTTGTTTGTACTGCTTCTGATAAGACACTGATGTCATCCTTATGTTTGTTCCTCTTTGTGTAAAATTTCTTTTTTTTTTTTTTTTAGATGGAGTCTTGCTCTGTCGCCCAGGCTGGAGTGCGGTGGCATGATGTCTTGGCTCACTCCAACCTCTGCCTACCAGCCTCAAGCCATTCTCCTACCTCAGTCTCCCAATTTCTTTTCTTTCTTTCTTTTTTTGCTCTGTTTCTCAGATTTTCTCTTTGTCATAGGTTCTAAGCAGTCTGATTATGATGTACCTTGGTATTGTTTTCTTCATGTTTCTTGTGCTTGGGGTTTACCATGGTGTTTGGATCTGTGGGTTTATAGTTTTCATCAAGTTTGGAATGTTTTCAGTCATTATTTCTTCAAACATTTCTTCTTTCTTTTCCTCTCTCTCTTCTTCATGAACTCCAATTAACCATGTATGAGGCTGACTGAAGTTGTCCCACAGCTCAGCCATGCTCTTTTAATCTTTAAAAATTCTTTTTCTGGCTGTATTTCCTTTTGGATAGTTTTTATTGCTCTGTCTTTGAGTTCACTAATCTCTTCTGAAATGTCTAATCTGCCATTAATCCCATAGTGTATTTTCCTGCTAATTCTATTATCTGTCAGTTCTATGTCATTTTTGATTGATTATTCTCCATATTATAGGTCACACTTTTTGGTCTTTTTACATGCCTAGTAACCTTTGATCAGATGTCAGACATTGTGAATTTGTTGCATACTTGATGTTTTTGTATTCCTAAAAATATTCTTGTGTTTTGTTCTGAGACTTAGATCAGTTACTCAGACATAGTTTGATCCTTTAGGTCTTGCTTTCATGATCCATTAGGCAGGTTTGGAGCAGTTGTCAGTTTGTGGCTAATTACTTCTCATGACAGAGATAAGATTTCCCTGAGCACTCTACACAATGTGCCACGAATTAGAAATTTTTCTAGTCTGACTGGTGGGAACAGATAGTGTCAGGTGCTGTTCCTTCCAATCCTTTTGGATGTTTTTTTTTCTCCATTCAAAGTGGAGAGTGTTGGGGAGTTTCTCAGTGTTGGGGAGTTTCCTATCAGACATGCAATGATCGATACTCTGCTGAATACTTGAGGGAGATCCTCTACAGATCTGAGGTTCTCTCTGTGTGCAGCTCTCTCCTCTTCAGTACTCTGTCCTATGAACTCTGGTTGCTTTGGTCTCCCCAGACTCACAGCTGTGTCCCCTCAATTCAGGGAGTCTGCCTACTCTGCCTTAGTTCCCCTCCCTGTGCTATGGCCTGGAAACTCTCTGAAGGCAGCATGGTGGGGCATTCATATGGGTCACCTTGTTTCCTGTCTCATAAGAGATCACTGTCCTTAGTTGCCTGATGTCTACTGTCTTGAAAACTGTTCTTTCATGAAATTTTGTTTTTTATATGTTGGGTTGTTTCAAATGAGAGGATAAATCTGGTCCCAGTTACTCTATCTTGGCCAGAAATGAAAGTTCTACAGTCACATTTAATGCCAGAATACTATTCTACAGAGTAGATCACTTTTTGTTTTCTGATAATCCACTATTAAAAAAAACAAGCATTCATAAGCATATTTTTTGCACTAGATCTGGTTAATCCTAAGAATCACACAGGGAAATTTTAAATAATGCTGACTCTTAAACCCACTCTTTAGATGTAAGTTCAGGAGGCCTGGAATGCAGTCCAGAAATCTGTACTTTTTAACAGGCTCCCTTGCTGGAAAGTGGCCTTGAATTTGAGACAGTTAAGGGTAGGGACTGTGTCTTTTATTTTTCACTAGAGAATAACACTGTCGGAAAGCTTGATAAAAATATCTGAGACTTTATACTCTAAACTTAATTTGTACCATTCCACAAACTATAACTTTGCATGGTTCCTATTTTGCAGTTTTCAGAAGTGGTAGGCGAGCAATGTGAAAAATTGGTTTATCAAAATGTTTCCAGTCCTAAGATTCAATTGTAACATTCAAGTTTCATTTCCAACTTGTACATTCAATCAGCTTGTATGGCTACTAAGAGAAGTGTTCCTGGAAAAATGCTGTAAATTAGTGTGTAAGTCAAATCTAATTTCATAAGGGAAATGATAGTACAATAGAGGTTCCACCCTTGAAACTAATAGATTTATGTATTCATTCAACTAACATTAACGTGAACTTACTATGAGGCAGGCACTCTGCTAGGTACAGTAGCAAATGAGACAAAAAGGGTCTCTCATGGCCAGGGGAAGTTCACCTCAAACCAACTGTAGTTAACATTTATTATTCTATAGGTCCCAAATATTTCTCTGTAGAGAGGAGCTGATTCATGTTCTCTCTGTTCCCAAGTTAACGAATTCTAGGGAAGGGATTGGCATAGCGTGGGTTAGGTGCCTACTCCTGAATCTACCAGCTTGAGGGGGGATATTAGGAAGGTTATACTCCTGGCCTTTCCCTATTTATATAAGCCTTTCCTCGATTTTGTAAGCTAGTTCAAGCTTGGTTTTTGTCACTTGCAACTATGGGGATCCCAATCAATAAAAAAAATAATTATGAGTATGATGCTACAAATGGGAAAACAGAGGTGTGTAACAGGAGTGTATCACCCTTGGGGAATGGACACATTGTAGAGGGTCTGAAAAACAAAATAGATCACATAGGAATATCCTGCACAGTAACATAATGCTTTGAATAAGACAACTAAGAAAGCAAATAAAGTTGTATTAAGTGTATTAGAGATTTATATTCTATTATTGAAAATATATATTTTATATTTCACATAAAATAATTCCTGTTTTCATGGAAACTCATCAAAAGGAGAAGAAATATACCTCTTCACTAGGATCACTAAAGGCAGAAGAGCTTTTGGAAGGAGACTTTCAGGGGAAACTCAAGACCATTTTATGCTTTCTGAAAAGTAACTCAGGGATGTAGTTTTATGCTTTTATTCAGTCTATGTTTCCTTTCTTTTTTTTTTGAAACAGAGACTTTCAGAGCTAGGTGGGATCCTGGGGATCATTCATTTAGTCAACTATGCTTTTAGAGATGAGCCAGCTGAGGCCCACTGACATGAAGTGATTTGCCCAAGACACCCAAAACCTGCTGTAGCCTATGCTCTCTTAAGCCAAAGAGTTGTCTGGATAGTACCAGAAAGGGTGAGGTGATCTGCATGCCCCCATGTGCTGCAAGATAATACTGTATAACGGGCAAAGATTACTAAATGAGAATTAGGACAAGAAATGTCTAAGCTGAGGGCTCGCCAAAAATCGTGGTCATAGAATCACTGCTTTATAACTTTTCCCTTAATCTAAAAGGCAACTTTTAGAAGTAGGTAAATTTGTTTTTCTATATCCTAATATCCCTTTTCTATGCTCTCAGGAAAGAGACATGAATGCGTAAATTTGAATTTTTTTCCTCTTGTAAAGATATGGTTTCTCCTGCAACTTGGAACTTATCCGATATTCCCTGTCTCAACGTCCATTCAGTTTTAGAAATCTAAAGCGTAAGGGCTGTCCTTGATCCTTGCTTCTCCCTCAGTCCCACTGTCAATCCATTGTTAAGGCTTACTGATTTTACTTACTCTTTCATTATTTCTTAAATGTGTTCACTTCTTTCCATCTTGACATCCATCCCTCAAGTTCAGAGTTCCATCATATCTGCCCTGCGCTACTGCAGTAACAGCCTCTTAACTGGTTTCTGTACATGCACTCTTGACCCCTCTCATACATTCTTTAGAGTGATATTTTTTTAAAACGAAAATCTGATATTATCCCCCTGCTTGAAAGTCTTCAATAGCCTCCCATTGTTTTTAAGATAATGAACAGAATCCTTAACATGTGTTCCAACACTTGTATGATTCTGTTCCAGCCACTCACCTTGCTGTCTGCAGTTCAGCCATGGTGCCTTCTTTCCATTGGGAAACTATGATAAGAGCCTTTACCAGGTTTACACATGTGCTATCTGGTTTGCCTGAATGGTATCCCCCTGCTTCCCCTCACTCCCCTTGCTCTGTTCAGTTAACATCAAGGAGCCTTTCCTTGATCTTCTCAGTCCACGAGAATTCTATGAGAATGATGAGGCAAGGTTCAGCATCAATTCTATTCCAGCTCTACTCCCAAGCACTGAGTAAACTGATTCATATTAAGTGGGTAGGTGGGAATGGAAGAAATTTCATTTCAGCAATGTTACTCAATTCTTTGAATGCCCTATGAATTAATCTTCATCTAATTTTGTTGAAGGCAAAAGATCTGAAAACTATAAGATTTATAAAAGGATGATTTTTACAATGTTACTAGACATTCACTTTCTCAATACCAATACAAATACGTCAAATTGTCCCTTTCTTTGCTGCCCCAGAGGTTTTTACACTCTGGAGGAATGTTACAGTATGTTCCCCTTTTTTTGGTTGAAGGGCAGTTGTGAAAGGAGAGGTGAGAAAGAGAACCAGCATGCCTAAGACACAGTGTCAGGCAGAACAATTCTAGAAAAGAAGGGCAGGGGGGAACTGAAGATCTGGAAACATTTCTTTAAAACTATTCATGTCTTCCCTCCCTCCCCAACTCCTAGTAGCATAGGTTGAAGTTAGCTGATCTAACCCATGCTGGGATTTTATGAGAGTATTGAAAATTTTCTTTTCCTACTTACCATTGGTTCATCTGTGTTCTTTTGGAACTGTACCAGCCGAACTCTGGTCACATTCTCCATATCCATGTCTCCGTTAGCACTTTCTGGAGAATCGCCGTTTAAGTAGGGAGAGGTGGGAGGAGGTGTGACCCTCAATGCTTCATCACTGTAAACTTCATGTGCCACTACGTCGTGTGTCTGAAGTAAGGCCTAGTGTTTTATGAAGAAAAAAAAATTAATAACATTACTATTTCAGCAGAAATTTATTTTTAGTTATTTATTTATTTTGAGACAGGATCTCACTCTGTCACCCAGGGTGGAGTGCAGTGGTGAGATCTCAGCTCACTGCAGGCTTCATCTCCTGGGCTCAAGCAATCCTTCCTCTGCAGCGTTCTGTGTAGCTGGGACCACAGGTGCATGCCACCACACCCGGCTAATTCTTAAAAGTTTTTTTTGTAGACATGGGGCCGACAAATTTATTATATAAACATATCTCATTCTTTTCCTCTCAAAGGTATCACTCATCTAAAGAGAACATAAAGTATGTAATATCGACATACAACTATATCTCAATTTCTTTGTGACAAATAATCATGATAAATAGATTTTTAAAAACATGAGTGAATAAATGAGTGAATCAATGAAGAGATGTGTTTGATGACTATCTGGGTCAGAAGTGTTATCAACTAACTTGTTCAAATGAAAGCAGACGGTACAATTTCAAATAATTTAGCCAAAAGAATCATCTATAAATAGAGTTGGCAAATTTGTGCTGGGGCTTGGAATTGAAACAAATTTAAAAAGAAATGGTGCAATAATTGGAGTATTGAGCAAATATCTTTCATCAAAGCACTTACAATGACACTTTTATATAACTCAAAGGATGAAAATAATTTATAGCATATGATTTAGAAAAAGAAAAAATATATATACAGATGTACCTTAAAAATGTAATCTTCCAAAATATCACATATGATATGGAACTCAAACTCTAAACATATTAAATTGTTTTGTTCATTATATTTTTTGGAGCACTTGTTTAAATAAAAAATAAGTTGAGAATTATTATTATGACTTCTTTTTGCAAAGCCTATTAACAAAGAGAAAGTGATTTCTTTGTACTGACATCTCTATTTGTCAGCTTGGTGAACTTCAACAATAAAATGTCCCTTGTTTCCCTGAAAAAGAATGTCCTTCTACTGACCACACTTTTTGTGCCATCATAATAAACCCTTTTTAATAAGCATAAATATTTGAACATTTCTATTTCAAAGAGAATCTATAGCTACCGGAATGTCTGGAGCTTTACACAGATTATATTTTCTTGTGTGCTAACTATAAATTTGGTTCTATTTTAATTTGTGATCTGTGTGGTAATGAGATATCTGCAGATAATGAAATGCAATTAAAATTGCTTTAAAAATATAACTCATAGCATCTGAAATTAAGTTATTTTATTAAAAGGCTTAAAAAAGTCATGACTTGACTATTTTAATTTTAAAGGCATGTATACTAGGCAAAAAAAAAAAGGTTAACAATCTGGTAAAATCATAAAGAAGATAATGCTGATTTGTCACCAGTAAAGAATATGCCTTGAATATTATACCCAGTTGGGTTTCTAATGGAAATGGCAGATATTTTACACAATCTCAGAAGACTGGTCTAAACTGGGATTTGGGTGAGGAGCACCAAGGGGCACTAAGCAATACATAGCTTGAAAGTAGGGCTCCGTGATGGCCCTGGGGACCTTGGCTTCCTCACCAGTACCCTGACTGCACCCTGTACTGGTACTCCTGAGCCCAAGTATAGAGGCTGTGCTATGTGGGCAAATCCCTCTTTTTCTGATTTAATTGTGGTCACGTAAGAAACTAAGATTTAGGACAAAAAGCAAAAATCGGTAACATAAAAACTGGAACATTTCATTTGCTAAAATTATGTTTGTCATATCACTGCAGCCTTGACCTCTTGGGCTCAAGTGAACCTCCCACCTCAGCCTCCCCAGTAGCTGGTACCACAGCCATGTGCTACCACACCCAGATAATTGTTGTATTTTTTGTAGACACGGGGTTTTGCCATGTTGCCCAGGCTGATCTTGAACTCCTGAGCTCATGCAATTCACCTACCCCAGCCTCCCAAAGTGCTGGGATTACAGGCCTCTACTCATTCTTTTAAATTATATAAGCAAACATTTGTATTTAATGCATTATTTACAAGGAAGGATAAGCCCACAATAATAAAATAATACCCAAACTGGACTTTAAAAGAAATATGCTCAAATATGTCACCAAATAAGGTCATACTCAATATTAACCACAATCTGGCACTGTAAATGATTGCTACCATAAAATGAAACTTAACCTAAAGTTCTAATTCATATCCAAACAGAAAAAGGGGGCCACTTACAGACTATCTTTTTAAAAGCTTAAAAGAGTATGTAAAATAAAAAATAGAGAAACCAAAATTTGAACATTTTTCTTCAAATATGTTAAGACATATGAGTGAGCAGTTGTTACTAAGCTGAAATAGCTGTCAGTTTTAAATACGTAACAATCACGTAATAGGAAAAAAACACTTTTTTTTGTACTATAGTAAGGATATGTATAAGACAACTAACAACATCAGACTAGAGTGAAAAAATCTGACTATTTAATGTTTCATATTTTACAACTGCAACAAGCAAAGGGAATGTTCTTTTTAAAAAGTCAGCCTTTCAAATGGAACAACTAAAAAAGGAATCAGTGAGATAATATTCTTTTATGATGACCTCTAAAGATACAGATTTTAGGCCAGGTGTGGTAGCTCATGCCTGTAATCCCAACATTTTGGGAGGCCAAGGAAGGATGACTGTTTCAGCTCAGGAGTTCAAGACCAGTCTGGGCAACAAAGTGAGACCCCAGTCTCTACAAAAAATAAAAAAAAGTAGACAGGCATGGTGGTGCATGCCTGTAGTCCCAGCTACTTGGGAAGCTGAGGCAGGAAGATTGCTTTGCCCAGGAAGGCTACAGTGAGCTAAGAAGGTGTCACTGCACTCCTGTCTGGGCAATAGAGCAAGACCCTGTCTCTTAAAAAACAAAAACAAAAACAAAAACAAAAACAAAAAAAACCACAGAGTTTTAAAGTTGTTTAAATTTACCCTTATTTCCTCTCCCTTTAGTTACTGTAAATATTTACAAGTAGCTGCATTTTCAGTGTTGGGCAATTCAATGTTAAATCCTCATGTTATAATAATCAGAAAGCAAAGAAAAATTCGGATGACTGAGCAAATAAGTCTGAAATTATAAATATGCCAAGAATAACTCCCAAACCTTGGCATAAATAAAAATTATAAGTATTAACATATTTCCCCTTAGCTATTAATATTTCTTTAAAAATACCAAGATTTTGAAACTATGATTTAAAAAATGCTTATAAGATAGAAAGCCTCAGCATTTAAAAGCTCATTTAACATAGCATATATCTATATCTATCTATATCTATCTATATTTATCTATATCTATCTATATCTATCTATCTATATATATCTATATCTATCTATTTTATATATATCTATATCTATCTATCTATCTCTATCTCAGAATTATATTTCCCACATAAGATATTATCCACACATAAGCTTATTTGGGAATGACCAATGAGCTCAACTTAAATTTATTAGAAAACTGATTAGCATTAAATCAACTGACTTTTAAGAGCATGGGCTTTGGTGCCAGCAAGATCTGGCTTGAACCTCACTGAGGCCACTGACTAGGTGAGTGACCTTAAGCAAGTCTCTTTACCTTGTTAGGGCACAATTTCCTCTCTGAATTGTGAAATGGGTTTAATCACACCAGCTTATATCCCAACCACAAGCAAGTCCTCTTGTATGTAACCATCTCCAACACAGAAACCCCATCTGCCCATGTTCTACCATCCTCACCTTTCTCCAAGCCTCTATCACCTCTCACAACAGCCTTCCGATTGGTCTCCCTAAACACTTATCCCTGCTACAGTCCGTTCTCTATACATCAGCTCCAGCAAAGCACAGATCAGATATTTTCCTGTGTGCCATCACTTAGTGTCATCCCACTGCAATCAGGAGAAAACTGTAGACTCCCTACAATGGCCTGGAAGGCTTTTATTTATTTTTATTTTTTATTTAGATGGAGTCTCACTCTGTCTCCCAGGCTGGAGTGCAGTGGTGCAATCCCAGTTCACCACAACCTCTGCCTCCTGCGTTCAAGAGATTCTCCTGCCTCAGCCTCCTGAGTCGCTGGGACTACAGGCGCCCGCCACCATGCCTGGCTAATTTTTGTATTTTTAGTAGAGACAGGTTTCACCATGTTGGCCAGGCTGGTCTCGAACTCCTGACCTCAAATGACTCTCATTCCTCAGCCTCCCAAAGTGCTGGGATTATAAGCATGAGTCACAGTGCCTGACATTTTTTATTTTTTATTTTTTGAGACAGGGTCTCGCTCTGTTGCCCAGGCTGAAGTGCAGTGGTGCCACCATGGCTCACTTCGGCCCTGACCTCCCAGGCTCATGCGATCCTCCCACCTCAGCCTCCTAAGTAGCTGGGACTACAGGCATGTGCCACCATGTCTGGCTAGTTTATTTTTAATTTTTTGTAGAGATAGGGTCTCCCTATGTTGCCCAGGCTGGTCTTTAACTCTTGGGTTCAAGCAGTCCTCCTGCCTTGGCCTTCCAAAATGCTGGGATTACAGGCATAAGCCACTGTGCCTGGTCCAAAATTTATTATATATCTGTTTCTAGCTATGGAACACTGCACAGAGCAGTTAGCCAAGGAGAGGCTAACCTATCTGAAAATGGGCAGGTTCCTAATCCATTCAAGGTTTTACTGATAACTTACTATGTGCCCTATAAATGATAGATACTATGGAGCAACTAATAATAGGTATTAGATAACATCTATTAGGCATTAAGCATATGTCAAGCATTGTGCTACGCACAGTAGATATATCAGCTATTTAATTCTTATTCTGACTCCACGAGTCAGAGTTCATAAAGTTAGGGTGGCAAGGATGGAGTTCAACCCCAGGTCATCTGAAATCACAGCTTTAACCACTTTTATACTATAGAACAGTGGTCCCCAACCTTTTTGGCACCAGGGACCCATTTTGTGGAAGATAATTTTTCCACAGATGGTGGCAGGGTGGGTGGGGGTGAGGGACAGAGGTCAGGGGATGGTTTTGGGATGAAACTGTTCTACCTCAGATCATCAGGCATTAGATTCTCATAAGGAGTATGCGACCTAGATCCCTCGCATGCACAGTTCACTATAGGGTTCCCGCTTCTATGAGAATCTAATGCCTAGGCTGATCTGACAGGAGGGGGACACAGGTGGTAATGCTTGCTGGCCTGCTGCTCACCTCCTGTTGTGCGGCCTGGTTCCTAACAGGCCACGGATGGGTACTGGTAGTGGCCCAGGGGTTGGAGACCCCTACTATAGAAGACTTGCTGTTTAAAAGGGAATGAATTATAATCTGGGGAAACACAGCACATACGCATGGAACAGTGAACAAGATAATATTAACGGTAATTTTACTGCAGATATTTGTGATTCATCAAATTGGAGGATTATTAACAAAGCACATAGTTTCTTTATTCTCCTGCTCTGTGAAATAGAGATAATCACAATGACTAAATGAGATCATAAGCTCAATGAGAACAACAAAATTGGGCCGGGATATGGAAGGACAAAGAAAAATTGCCCTGGCTCATTCACCAGGAAGGGACCTGCTCTGGCAGGCCAGAAAGCATTAGAATGTTATGCAGGTGAATACAAACAAGTGGAAAACAGTTAGAGAAGAGAAAGTCCAAGAGAAGTGTAGAGAGGTTACAAGAGATCTTGACAACAGAGGTGAGATTTGAACGAAGTTCTGTGTTTATGCACCTAGGTTGTAAAAATGCACTCATCTACAGGCATTAGAACCTGTATCCTAATGGTAATTCATTGGACAGTGCTGTTATCATAGGATAAAGTCAAATACTCTCAGGGATTATACTTGAATTCAGCCTTTAATGCTTGGGTGGGAGAGTTAGGAAGGATGAATATGGTAATTGCTTCTTTCCAGGTAGTTACTTTGAGGAAAAACAAAATTATTTCGGGCCGGGCGCGGTGGCTCACGCC